GAAAATAAATAGCACCATATTACACCTTTTAGCCCCTAATATATGCCCTTATAAGTTTTCAAAACTGTTCCATTAACACCCTGTATACTTAGTCGATTTACCTCATCCCTGTCGTGACAAAACTCATTATAAATTATTTTCCCAAACGGACAATAGCTACGGCATCTTTTGTGGAAATTTATTTGGCGATGTTTTCGGTTCGTGCTCTTGACTTATATAAGCGATAGCTGGACCGTTTCCGGTACGTGTGAACCGCCCCAATGCCTTTGTGTGGTTTTCGATGAATGTTGAATACCATTGCGAAATTTCCAGCATTTAAAAGGAATAGGATGTTTTTTGATGCGTTACTTTCTTTCTCACTTAAATGAACGTCTCTTATTATTATAAATATGAATAGATAAAATTAATTAATTTAATCATCTCTGTACTTAAATATGGAGGTACTGGATTCGAATTCCGGAGAAAAAATTAGATTATTTCGGTCTAGGCTAGGCAGGGCTAGGACATAGTCTGATAAATAACTTACCTGTAGAAGATCAGTGAAACCGACACAGAAATGAGTTAGCCCCACGCCCCCACGGGGGCAATGGGACTTCACTACGGACAAATATAACTAATTTAATGCAATATATTTTACATTAAGTATACCAAAACAATGTTTAAAAACTTTAGTTTAAAATGTCTTTATCGTCCAACACGATTTATATGAAAAAATCATCATAGACTGGTTTGAATAATCTGGTACTTATGGAACTATCTATGGTAGGAATATCGAAATATAGAACACGGACCTCAGTCCACAGATGAAAAAGCCGTGAAGCATAAATCTGCATTTCGGTTTTAGTCTGTGGATTTATGAATATCCATGATATCCAATAAATGCCAAAATAGTTCAGCGCAACTTGTTTCAGATGTTATTTGTCCGGGATATTTCATTTTCGATAAATCCTGTGTTTGTCTGTCCTCCTCTGTTAGTTAAAAAATAATAGTACAACAGCATGTACGTTGTTGTTTATCTTACAAAAATATGTTTTTATTAACGCAAAATCATGACTGACACCCATATTATATTTGTAATATAAAAGGGACTGGTCGCAATTTACCATGTTAGGATATTGTAGTCGTTTTCTTACCAATCCAACGTTACTAAGAAATACATATATTGTTTAAAATGTCAGAGTTGTCAATGTCTAATCTAAAATGACATACGATCAAGCTGTCATCAATAATAATAATCAACGTCATTAGTTTTCGCTGAAATATTAATATTGTATTGTACGCAAGAAACAAAATGTTATTAGAATAAGCAGTTTAAAACAATTTATTATATAGCAAGGTAATTACAGAACAAAAACCCAGAAAATGAAGGCGATCTGCACTAAGCTAAAGTGAATCGTGAACAATACGTCTTTGATTGATGCAGAAGGTTTTGTCTGCCGTCGCTAAGTTTTTCCTTTTTTCTTATATTCTAAAGATGCTAGTAATGTAAAAATGAATTCAAGTCTAACGGAGTATTTATTTGCAAAGTTGTTCTTTTGTGACATACTGTTATTAAGTATTTGTATTTTATAAATCACTAAAGTAGATAAAACGTTATTTTCAGGTTTATTGAAGTTATCTTATTTCAATACAACATATTTGTTAATATAAACTAATCTTACGTAATGTTAAAATAATTTTAAAGCTTTAATAATTCAAAATCAATCGATTTTTATTCTGTACTATAACAAAATTTTTACAATATCTATAATCGTTAAGGGCGTTTGCAGTGTCATGACCTACGGTAAGCACTAAAAATTTAATACTATGAACCTGACGACCGTAAAATCGAATCAACCTGGCCTTTTAATGGTATGACGTAGGCTTAATCAAAGAAAGATTCTGGTTTTTCAAAGATAAAACTCCCAATTAACGAAATAAAAGTCGTTATCTTCGTACTTCGTCTAATAACTTCGTCTCGGCTCATTACCTAATAAAAGATCTCGTTCCAAAGATTATCTGGTATTACTTTATTTGGCATTAGGGAATAGCCTGGCGATTAATTATTTTACGTAATTACAAGTTAATTTATCTATAGGAACAAATGTAGGTCATAATATATAAAGGGCGATCTTAAGAAGGCAATTCGGATTTTATCATCAACACAAAATGGTAATTTAGCTTAAGCTAGCTTTCAGCACTTTGTCTGTGAAGAAATGTGACATTGATAAACATGATTTCGTAGGATAAGTATATTACAAACCTATACTAATATGATAAAGCTGAAGTGTTTGTTTGTCGCGCTAATCTCGGGAAGTACTGGTTTGAATTGAAAAGTAATCTTTGTGTTGGTTTGACCATTGCCTTACCTGCGTAAATGACTCAAGAAACCAAAAAATAATTATAATAAAAAGCCTCATTAAATGATCTATAAAAATGTCCTCGACATTATAAGTATCTTTAAAGATTAACTTACAAGAACGAGACGCGGAAGACGTGGGTAGCAGTTTTCGCGAGTAGTACACATTTTAATAAAACACTTTAACGGTGTAAAACGCGATATATATTCGTTAAACATATTTGAAAATTATTTTCAAATAAATTGGTTTCCCCGTGACCACGGCTGCTCCAAAGCATCCCAAAAGTCGGGCCTAAGTTAAAAATAATTTTAACTAATATATATGCGTTTAAAACCGTACATGTGTTTTATTTAAAAGGAGGTTGTTGCAAAAATTAAAAATATGCCCAAAATAACTATTCCGAACAAAGTCGTATTAGTAGGATTAGTGTAAGTTATGCCTGAATACGTGTAAAAGTGAAACTCCGTTGGGCATAAGGCAGGAACGAATATTGTGTGAAAATTAATTGTTTATCTAAAGTGCTAAACTATGAACCTGGATTAGATACCCTTAACGCAATGATACATTAAAACACGTGAAAAGTAGTAATGTTTCAAATTTGGCTTTTTTTTGTTTCTTATAAATCAAAATCCATCTCTAATCCAAAATCTATGTAACTTTCCTCTATCTAGCGTTTCTACAATATTGTTGAAATGCTAGATAGTTTGACAGGTACAGCAGGTGCTTGTTCTACTTCACGAGTTTATCTGCAATATTCTTCAAAATCTAACATGTATTCCTTTTGACGGCTTCCGTTGAAAAGGGAATGCATATTGGAAAATATTATTAAAGAATGTCGGACTATGAATGACAGAATGGTGGAATTCGCAGCCTCCACATTGTAAAATATTCGTTTCGTTTACTCGGTCCCATTGTTGAAACCTGTAGGGATGTAAATTTATTGATGTTCCTGTAGAGAGATTTCTATTCTGAATAAAAACAAATGAATTTTTGCGCATATTAATTTCTATTAGAATACAATAAACAGGCCGTGCATATGCAAATATGAAAATCGGGTAAAGTAAACTATAGTGACGTTTGGTAACCATATCAATAAATGTATGTAATCGACACGGGCGGGTATCGAGTTGGAATGCACATCGTTACGTGCTGCTGTTCTAACCAATTGAGCTACCGTGTCGTCCCTATAAGTTATTTAAGAGGTGACTTTTAAATATGATTAAAACTATTACAAACACAAAACATAAATTTTTTTACATGTACAATGGTTAATTATTACAAAATACATATATACACAATGTATATCAGTTACGTCCGAAAATCTACAGCTCTAGAGCCACCTGGAAATCAGTTTAGCGTGTTGTCTACAACTATGCCACTTCTTTGCATTCTAAAATTTATCAGTTCTTTATTATTTTTCATATTGTTCTTATCCTTCTCTTATAACACAAAGAGGTGATTTGTTTGACGCATTTAAATGTCAAAATATTATCTTCACTGAGCAACATTAAGTAGGTATGGCGTCATCGATTTTGATATCAAATTTATACAGTACATTTAACAATTCTCCTCGCTAGACGTACTTTCCAAATGATACTGATTATCCTATATTTTGACTTTATTTGTTAAAAAGGAAAAAAATCCTATTGCACCGTAAATAAGGAATTAATTTACTGGTGTCTCGGCATTTTCCAATTTGAAATGAAGAAAACGAATGAAGATTATTGTTTTATAAAAAGATACATAGGTAAACTATACAATATTACTATTATGAATCGAAAGTTAAAATTTGATACATACACGGACCCGTGAAGCTTGTAATTCCGATAATGGAAAATACTCATTTTACATTGTCGGATTTAAATATTATATAATTAAGATACACTTAAATGTGTATGTTAATACATATATGCTTCCCTTGGATTAATTAAATGTAATAAACAGCAAGTGCGGGGCGTACTCGTGAAAGGGCTACATACCATTAAAAAAATTCATAAAAAATACCAAACTAAGAATGTAAATAATTAAATGATATATAATGTATAGTGTATAGGTTTTATATGCCGTTTTAAAGTAAAATAATCATGCTTATTAAAGTTATTTTAATACCTATCTGTATCCAATTACTAAATTAAACAAAGGAAATGGTGTTTGATAATAGTAATATTACAAATCATTTCTTATCAACATAAAAAGTTAATTATGTAGAGAAAAGACTTCAAGTATCTGACTTGTAGATTTTGTTTCCACCGCGGCTCTTTAAAATAAGCATTTCAGAAATGATTCTGCTTTCAATTGAATAATAGGATGAAATGGACTTACGACCATTCAAAGTATATTGAAATTCTATTTTTAAATCTCTTGTAACTGAAAATGTATAAATAAATTTAAATAAAAAATTACTTGAGATTAAAAATGCTTCTTAAATAGGTCTGTTGTTGTTTGTAATAACAGTAAATAGATTAGAAATCGACTTTAGATAAAAGCAATCATGTGCAATAAAATGTGAGAAATATAAAAGTTTTCAAAAGGAAGTAGGAACAATTAAAAACATGATAAAAAAATAAATACTTGAAGTCACAAACTATAACATTTACCATCCAAATTAAGTCTATCTCTAAAAAATAGAGATGCAATGCCTTGAATTACAGATTATATTGCCTAGGTTTTTTGAGTCTTCTTTTTCTTGAATTTCGGATCAAAATACGTGCAAAACAGGTTACCCTTCTTTGAGTTCATAAGTACCTTAAACAAGTACTCGCCATAGAAAAACTGTTTACCAATATATTTGGCCATAAGGTCTGACATGTCCATATCACTGTAGTAGAAACCCTGAAATAAAACTGGATTTGCATTAGTGTAATGTAACTTTGTATTTCGTGATCACACATTAACCCGTTAAGCATATAATTTTTATACAAAATGAAAATAGAAAAATTACGACGCGGGCAGGACTTGCACAATTGGTTAGAGCAACAGCACGGGACGTTGTGCAAAATCCATCCAATTCATATATATCATAAATTTTTTTTAATCCAAAGTAATACGAAACTAAATAAAGACATGTCATTGTCTTTCGGGCTGTTCAATGACATGCTGAACGATGGCCGTATTTGAACTACAACTTGAAGTTTTGGTCTCACGACGTAACCATTTCAAGGTTAAACCGTTAAAAGTGTGTTTTTTATACTAACCTTTTTAACAATACAATTTTTGGCTCCTAGGTAACTTTCAAGTAATGTGGCGAACACGTAGTGCTGGCAGGGTTTGTTTATATTGTAGTTCCAAAGGAGAACTTTTGCATTATCTTTAATAGTGTACACGTACATTCTTATCTGTTAATAGAAATAAGTTGATCATTACTTCAATTATTTTTAATGATAGAGCCTCCTCTAGACATTTGATGGTAGGTGATATACCCCAGCCTATAGCATCTAAGATGCGCTGTTGAACTATTTGACTTGGGATATTCGGAAATCCACAGTCTAACCGAAACGCGATTATGCTTCAAGGCTTTTTCATCTGTGTACGGTGGTTCGTGACCCTTGCGGAGTTTCAATATTTCTATTTATAGTTTCTAAATAACCATTTATTATCCTAGATTCCTGATTAAGTCCAACATGTTGCAGAAAAATTATAAATTTAAAAATTAGAATGTTGTGGTGGGGACCGAACGCACTCTTTGATGATTAGGCATTACTACGTTACTACCTAATACGTTGCTACCATTAGACCAACGAGCCAGTGAACATTTTCAGATTATTGTCAGGGAAGAGTAAGTATGTACCTTTTACCGTACAGAAAACTTTTCTGCTAAAAATGTTAACTTCCTTTCCATTGTATAGTTTAGTTGGGGCTGAAATAGGTCAACTCTAGGAAAAATTAATAAAATTACCTCATCAACCCGAGTGTCTTCTAAGAAGGTCATATTCAGCTGTCCAATAAAGTGGTCGTCTTTATTTTTTAGCAGTTTACTGGTGAACTCAGTTAGATTTTTCAATTTAGGTCCTCTACACGTTTCGTACTTCTCCCATTCTACTACATAATAGCCCTGGAAAGTTGCTTTGTCATATGAGAATAAAAAACAATTATAAATGTATATGAACCATTTACGGTTTAAAACGCGCAATATGTGATTTAAACTTATTTAAAAATTATTTAAACAATGACTCTACTTTTCTGATGCATTGCAGCCTACTGGCGTCGTTTGCATTATATCAAATATAATTATTATAATAAATTTAATAGTCCTTATGGTTAAATAAATATAAGCAAATTATTATGAAAAACAACAGAAGAGTTTAACTTAATATTATGTTATTGATTTATTAAACGAGATTTAAAAAGATAAAAAGTAACTTACATAATTATTAGAATTTTTAACTCCAAAATCACAATTTGCATAGCATAAAATTAGTAAGAATATATGAATAAAAAACATGTTTGTTATTACAGAACCTTTGTGAATTTGTCTAAATAACTACGCTCTTTGTGTGATAATTTTAGTTGCACTGATTTCGTTTTAATACCGGATTCTAATATACAAGTAATAGCTACATTTGAACGAGACTAAAATACATTTTAATTAAACTCGCTTTGCTTCCTGAATAGACGTAAATAATAGTCAATGGACGTTATACGAGTAATAATGGCATTTAAATTCAATACATTAAGTTATTAGCTACTAAAAGGTACGTCGCTTGAATATTACCCTTATGAATATTAAACTTAAGTCTGCTTTTGCTTTGCATTGCATTAAGCCGTTCTGGGGGCTTTCTTCTTTATAACTAAAACTGAAAAATTGAATTAGGTTGACAAGATATGTCGACAGACATGTCGGGATCCAAGCGCCAATTTATATATATAACGCTTTTAACGGTTTAAAACGCATAAGTCAGTTCTGTTACGACTCAGCCTGTTTCTCCAAATATTTGGAACCTAAACTAACTACAAAACTAACTGTAACATTATTAACCACCTGTTTAATGTCTACCTTTTCCAGAAATATATTGGCCTCGGTGGGAATAGAACCGACGCACACAAACCTTTTTCTATTAATAATATACTAATCTACATTTACTTGCATGTTGTAGGAAAAAGAGACAGTAAATATTAGGAAACATTATCATTTTTACATACAACCGAACATGGTACCATGTTTATTAAATTTAAAATCATTTTTAAGAACATAAATAGTTTGTGGGACTGAAAAGTGCCCGTTAAATTAAAAAATAGATAAATAAGGTGATCTATTTTTACTGATGATACATTTCAATGCATCAATAATATTAATATCTGTCTTCTATCTGTAGCTCGTACTTAGCAACATTGAATATCGTATCATAGGCAGTTGGATTGGTAATGTTACTACAAATTGGTCGAGAGGTCTGTCTGTTTGTAGTAAAATGGACTTTGCTTCAATATTTATCAAAGAAATTAGGGTAAACAAGGGGTATACAATTACATCGATGGACAAGCATAAGAGAAATATCGGAATGCGTTGCGGGTCTTTAGTTTTTTAGTTGCACATATTATGTATACTCTGATTAAAGGTATGACGGCGCATCCGCTAATGTCAGACGTCAGGTTGACTTTTAGCCGTCAAAAGTCAGCCTAGCGAAGCGTCATTGTCGATGGTTGCGGGGCGCGGCCATCTAGAGTTAGGTTCGAGATGGCGCCCACGTACCACGCTCGTGACGAATCGCTTTGCATCTGAGTAATAATTAAACCTAGTGTTCTAATTGAATTGATTTCGCGTTAATTAGACTGTACATCGTTGATTTGACTGTATATTTCAATTATTAAACCCTATGCTGATTAAACCACTGTGATTATAACAAGGACGCCTACTTACCGGCCTACTAGATTTCCTACCTAAACAAGATGAGTTCTGATGAAGGCCCTCCTGCCCCTACAGGTACATATATTGCTTTTATTTATATGTCGAAACAGTCAAATGACAGGTCGGAACGGTCACTAGTAAGGGACGTCCACTGACGGCGAAACGAAGTGAAGTTAGCGCGCGCTTTCGCAATGTCCAGCCGTATTCAGTACATTGTCGATGACTTGGCGGAAAATTAACGGTAGCGTTTAGAATCAAATAAGAAGTCTTTAAAAACTGTCCTACCTTTTTTGTAGATTTTTAATCATCTAAAGTTATTTCTTTCTAATAGAACCTGTGAAATGGATAATAGGCAGAACTTTTGCTACGACATAAACATAGAAGGATAACCTTATTTTTTTAGGTATTGTATCTAAATAATATAAATAGGAAAATCACGCTTTTAGGCAAAACGGAACAATACTGACAAAAGCGATTTGTTGGCGTTATGAAAGCAAAATATGTAAGGATTGTATTTATGAGTGCCCTTCAGTATCCAACGCAATATTTTACCAAGTAGGCGTTTATATTATAAACGCCTACTCACATATTACTTCACAAATTACTTCTTTTTTTTTCAATTTAATAATAAACGGTGATTTCATACAAAAAAGTCATTTTCTGCCCATTTTTACTGTAATAAGAAAAGATCACAATATTAAATGCTGTACCTAGTAAATGGCACGGGGCTCAAAGGAGCCGCGAGGGTTTTAAAAAGTCGCACCTAAATGCAACGACAATTATTCGGTAAGTTTATAGCAGGCACCTGTTGCGTGTTACGGGACAGTGTAAGACAAAAATTACAATCGCACTTGCCTATAAATATCGCGTTGTATATCTTCATTGTGTGGGTTGGCGCGTGTATGTTGGTTAGCTTGGAAAAGGGAATTTCAATTATAAACCCCTTTCTATACCTATCTATATCCTTTCGTATAGCTCTCGTATGCTTTTCAAGTTTTTGCAGTAAAACTGCAAAAAACGTTTGAAGTAGATAGACTAATGGAGATCGTTGTTATAAAAATAATCCGTATATCGGGAAATACGAAGATAATAAAGGAAATCTATGAACGTTTTAATGTTTATACAAAGTAAAAAGCTTCAAATGTCTTTGTGTAAATTTCAATAAAACACTCTTAACCGTAACGCGATATATATTAAATTATTATCATTTTAGTCACGGCCTGATATTTCGGGTGCAGTCGTGGTTCACATGGAGACTGAATATGAAAAAATTCAAATATGCTACGCTAGCGCCATCTGTTTTGTCGTAGTTGGTATCTTAAGATATGAAATTTCAATTTTGAAATTTTCATTAAAATTGGCTGAGTAGTTTAGGCACAAAAACTCTTTTTATACTTAACAAAAACAAAAAGTATAGAAACGGGCACGAGGGTGATAGCATTGATAAATGCAAACTGTGATAAAAATAAAGCCTTTTACGCTAATTGCCGCCTCTGTAGCTTAAACGTTTTGCTTACGCATGCGCGTTAAGCGCGAGAGGTCCTGGTTTGGAATTCCGAGAAAACAAATATTATTTCGGTCGGGCAGGGCATAGCAATTTGATAAACTAATTGCCTGTAAATACAAACGGGATTTCATTTTGCGCTATTTCATTTGTATGATCTTGATGGTTTTGTATGGAATAATTTTAAACATTGTCTGTAGTTTACGCGAGTAGTGGGTACCTACACAATTAAATAAAACGCTTTAAAGGTTTAAAACGCGATATGTATTAAGTTAACTTACCTATTTGAACATTTAACTACGCCCTGACGTTTCGGATGCTTTGCAGCTGCCGTGGTCAGGGGGAGACTCCCCGTATATTATTTAAATAGAATAATTTTAATTACATTGAGTATATTCTATATGTAAAAAAGAAGGTGTTTTGCATGTGATTCAAAGCCTCGGGTAAAAACTTCTATTGTCGTAATTTCCTCTTATATAATATATTTTGTACGCCTTTGTAATCTACGAGCTTAGACTTAACCGCACAGTACGATAATTCAGGGTACTTTTAATAATTACCCGCAAACTCGTGTAATTGCTTGTAATTTACGTTTGCCGCTTGAGAATTTTCAAGTACTGTTAACATATTTATAAAGCATTATTCCATGTCGACAATTTGGTAGGCGTTCCCACGAAAATGTTTCTTTTATATATATTTTTTTTCTTTAAAAAAACCCTGTTTTATAAATAGCAGAATAAATACATTATTGTATTAGAAATTTTCATAATTAAGTTTCTATTATTGTGAGAACACATTAAATAAATCTGTTAAGGATTCATAAATTCATTCTCTTATGTACGCGCACATAATAACTTTTTAAAATTGTTTTATTTATCGGGTAAAACTCGTATAAACTACACATAAAATGTTAGTGGTTTAATTTAAATATTTTAATGTTAAATTTTAAAAATTGTATGTTTAATATCTATGACTAGCAAACCTCAATTGAGCAACTGTACTTTTTTTATATAAATAAAATCAATTGAGTTTAAAAAGGAACAATACAGACAATTCACTAAACACTAAGTGTTTTTTTATGGAACATACCAATTTAATGATTTTTTTTTGACATTGCAGCATATTTTCAAACGCTAGCGCCATCTATTTTATCGTAATTGATATTAGGAGAATATAGATTGATCCTTACAAAACTGACTCGTCGTCGTCTCGTCTAGCTTACTATTTAGTATCTTAACATAGTCCTCCTTGTTGAAAAAGAGACAATATTTTTTTACGAAACATTGTGTTTTGAGACCGTATCATATTATTTTTCTATCTAGAATAAAAATAAAGTGGTTTATTGTTTTAACGAGAGTGTAAAGGCGGGTTCTTACAAAATGAATTAAAAGGAAAATTGTACCTGAAATGTTTTCCTTACCTAGTTATCCAGATGAAAAGAGTAAATAACTCACATGACTACAATGCAATAAGGGAGAAACGAAATTTCTTCACAAAATGTGTCTTTGGTGGCGTAATAAGCTATACCCGAATCTCATTTTGGCGACGATAGAGATTTTGAAAGAGTAATAACGGTAAATGGTTGCTATTTCGTTGAGGTATTAACATCCGGCTTGTGGTCGTGATATGACCCCTACTAACTGTCTATTCGAGTTAATCTCGAATCGCTTTCGTGACATTTATTTACTATTATTCTCTAATACGTAATGGTGGTGGTTAATGATATAAGTATACATTTTGGAAGTGTTTATACAATCCATCCAAAACAAGTAATCCATTTCATTGATTAGCGCGTTTAATAATAATAAGCTTATCAAGGCCTAAGGCCAGCGCAGCATTATCAAGACTGGGTCAAACTCGATATAGATCAAAATTTCAAATAGAATACGTATCAACATATAGAGTGTAGACTAGATTATGTCTGTCGAACATATTACATAACTAATAATGACTCCTGTTTATCATACAAATATTGGAAAATATTGTTACAAAGGGGAACGATAAAATGTTAGACATTCTTTATAATCTGTTATTTTAATATGTGATACTCAGAACTAGTTCAATATAAGTTATTTAGGTTAGTGTAGGTTAAATACTGTGTATAGTTTACGCGAGTAGTACACATTTAAATAAAACACTTTAACGGTTTAAAACGCGATATATTAGTTAAACTTATTAAAAATCATTTTCAAATAAGTTTAACTAATATATCGCGTTTTAAACCTTAAAGTATTTTATTTAGTGTAGGTTGTGAACAGTCGGCGTTGAGATAACAGAATTCTTTAGATCTAAAATATATACAAGTAGTACTGAACACAGAGTTCCTGTGAAATACCTGATCATGAGTTTTTAGAAGCGCAAAGGTCTCCTCTCATTTTTATTTAAAAGAAGTCTCTGAATGACTCTTAGTACACCTTCTGATTATCTCAGGATACGATCATTTCAAAAGAAATTGAGATGAGAATTTATTCATTTTTTCGCGAAATATATTCGGTACTACGGAGATTTAATAAGCCGAGAGGATCTCATTAACATACGCTTTACTATGCGGAATCACCTCAATTTACCCTCAGTAATACGATTATCTATACTATGTAAATGTATACTATGTATATTAAACGGGCTGTTAGTAGGTATAATCATAGGCTATTTTATTATTAAAACCTGATTATGTGACTAACAGTGAATAAAGTAAATATAATATGGCTCAAGAGTTTGTTTGAACCCGCTAATGTCAGGAACTACCGGTTCGAATTGAAAAAATATTTTTCGGTGATTAGAAGAATTGGAATTATCGCTATAAAATATCATGCTGTAACTAATAGGGGCGGAGAAACCGTGAGAAATGTAGAAAAAAACGGGGCAAAATATTTTTCTTTAAGAGTTTCCAATGCGTGCGCTGCGGAAACGGTTCAAGATATTCAAAAAATATGTATGTAAAAATGATTGCTCTTCAAATGATCTAAAAAAATGTCTGCGACAGTGTATGTCAATCTTTCAAGCTTAGCAACACGGACATAGTTGCGAGTACACCTAGTTAAGTCTTTTTATTAAATGTGTTTATAATATTATTTACAAATACAAAAAATTGAAATTAAATAAAGATTTACATTATTATAGATAATATTAAATACAATTTTGACAAAAACTTTTTCCTTACCCATATTACATTCCTTTGGACTTTCCATTGTTTCTAAAGATGGTTTATTTATAACTAAAAAACAAATGTACCAATCTATTGTCTTTATTTAAAATAATTTAATGAATTCCATTTATACATTTATTTATTTTTTACACACTTATAACTAAACTGGGAATAATATTAATGTATATAGAATTTTTGTGAAATGATGGCAAATTACTTTTAAGTTGCAATTCTGAATATCTTCACATATTTTATACATGGTATTAAATAACACAGCAGTGCAACTTTAATAAAACGAAGCTAATTTAAAACGTTTTACAATATAAAACTCGATGTTAATACTTTCTTAAACTATTAAATACTTAAACATAGCTGAAGGTATTTTAACCAGAGACGAACAGAGACGAACTATTTTACACCTTAAAGAAATACATGTACTAAAGAATTTATGAATGTAGAATTATATTATAAACAAAATGTGATAGGAATTTAGTCTTTTAAAAGTTAATAGAACACATTCATACTGCAAAACTCATGCATTTAGGAATAGGATAGAACGGTCGCCTCTCTCAATTACGTGAAGTGCTGAAAATTGAAAGCATAAAGGTATAGTTTAAAATATCGCTTACAATATTTAGATCGTACTCGCGAAACATTTTTCATGTCGACCGTAAACATATTTCCAAGTATGAAATTTTCAATAAGTTGAAACGGAGCCAAATGCAAGTTACAAAATATATTATTGCTAGTAATACATAATATTGGAAGTATCAAAACCTTTGGTGGGTACTAAATTTTATAAAACATTGACTATTTAAATAAAACACTTTAACGGTTTAAAACGCGATATATTAGTTAAACTTATTTGAAAATGATTTTTAACTTCGGCCCGACGTTTTAAACCGTTAAAGTGTTTTATTTAAATGTGTACTACTCGCGTAAACTATAGACAGTATTTAAACATTGACTATTCTATTTATACATACATCCTTAACGTATATCTTTAAGTATTTTTTTTCACCGCGGCCAATCACCGACATAATGATAAAAATTACATGCAATTAAAATTAAATTACAGGTCTCAGCGTCATCCCCGCTCTTCGACTAGACAAAGCGGAAATGTTTTATGACTAGCACAATATTTATCAATGAAGAGTGCGGATAAGAAGTCTTGATATTGCGCAAAAATTGGCTTGATATTCCTTGAAATAATTACTTTAAGATGGATCTTAAGAATCAAAGAAATCGAGAATAAAAAATCTATTTTGCATGTTTGATATGTAATCAATCTACAGCAAAATAATAAGGCTGCGTCTACACTCTTAAAAAGTTTTTCGTTAAGCGTGTTTGACAGCGAAAAAGGTCACTGTAAATACACACATAAACAGACTACTTTCTAGGGAATAATTTAATAATGTTTTCTTAAACAGTCTTTTTTTCAAGAAACAGAAGTCATTTTTGTTTGATTCTACAAATTATTGTAGAGTATAATTAATATTTCTTTCTATATTATAACTAAAACTAAAGCAAGGATTAAGTAGTTTGTGAGTATTTTAATACTACAATTTGGCTGCCAATAATTTTCATCTTTCGATGACAACATTAACGAGTCTTCACCATTTTGACCCAGTTGACTGGGGCAAGGCAGGGTTTCTGGAGGCATGTCCACTAAAACGACTTGATTTAAGAGAAGTTTGTCGGGGCCGTATTTGTTCGTAGTCATCGCTTCATCTTTGTCATTACGTTGAGGAGTATCACTCGCAGACTCAACTTCAAACGAATCTAACTTTTGTTTATTATCAGGGCTCAAAGCGGTGTCTATGCTTTCAGATGTATTTGGTATGCAGGTGACTTCGTCGAGCGCTTGTCTGAGGGGTTCACTTTTCGATTCATTACGCAGCACTTGAATCCAGGTCAGACGACAATCACACCTCAATTTGTTACCTGCGAATAAATATGCATTAATTAATTTGCCCAGCGTTAACAGTCTAATCCAAGGGAATCGTTTAATCCAACACTCCTAGATTGATTCGACCTGACGACTATTCAAGCCAAACAAAGGTCTATAATAAAATTAATGTGAGAATAAACCAGTAATGTTTGTTGATTTTTAATAATTCATATTTCTTTGTGCCTAAATCGTGTTATTGCACCATTGTTGACTTAGTGTGGGGAACTGCTACACTCATTAATTGTCCTTAACATGCGAGGGGCGCTTCTGTAGGGGCTGAAAGTCTCAAAGGGAACGTACTATTGTTCGTTGAAAATATAGTTATTTATCTCCTCTTGAAGTCTCGTAAAATATATTTAACGTGTGTTATTACTGCTTAATGACATGTTTATATGCTTTAAATAATTGGGTTTTAAATGAAATGCGCAAAACCCACGGACGTAGTTTTTTTTTGAAAAGGCTTGACGGTTTTTTTGGTTAAATGTTGTTTTAAAATTTATCTTCCTAAACATATAATTAGGATATTATAATTAACTTACCACTTAAATATAATACAGAAGTTTGCATTTTCAAATTTTCCAAAATCGGCTTTACAGTTTCGTAAGAGAATAATTCAATTTCATTATTCCTTAAATCCAGCAATTCGAGACCTCTTACGCCCTCTAGAAGCACTTCGTTGATAGTCTGTAATTTGTTGCCAGTCATAGTCAATTTCTGTAACAAGGCCAATCCATCGAACGCCCTTTCCGATAAATATTTTAAGTTATTATTGTCCAAAAGAAGTTCATTTAAGTTCCACAATTCGATAAATGTCAAGTCTCCTATCATTGACAGTTTGTTCGATCTCAAATCCAATCTCGTCAAATTTGAGAGCCCTCTAAAAGTGTCTTTCGTTAGAACTGAAATTAAATTAGCCTCTAATACTAAATCGTTGAGTACATTTAAATGTTCAAAGCATCCATCGTGAACTAGATTAATAGTGCTAAACGATAAATCGAGATATCTGAGACTCGGTAAATCGACGAATACATCCCTCTGGAGTTCGGTCATTTTATTTCCTTTTATAGTCAAGTTTACAAGCGAAGGGAGACTGGCGAACGCGGAAAAGTCCAATTCCGTTATTTGATTGTTCTTTAACGTTATTTCTCTTACGCTGGACATATTTGTGAACGTTCTTTTTTCTATTCGGTTCAAGGTCGCATAGTTCAATTGCAACTTTTTCAACCGCTTTAATTTATGAATAACATTAAGTGGCACGAACGACAGGGCTCCGTCTGACCGTACGTTGAATGCTAATCGTTCTATGTGAGGCTGGGCATTGAATGTGGTCCAAATGGGATCGGCTTCATCTATTCCACCGTTAAACACCCAGCAATCTACTCGCGTTGCTTGGTACGCGTCTGTATTTTCACAGTAGCAGTGGACCTTTGCATCTCTATTTGGCACTTCACATATGTTGTCTTTGGCTTGGTTATTATGGTATCTCCTGTCACTTTTATCCCTGCGCTTTTCACTTAGACGACCTTCTATAAAGTATATTTGAAAGCAGGTAAGTATGAAAACTAAACGTAAATACTTTCGGGTCTCCATGAGTGCAATCTGAAACAAGAGAAAGGTGTTACAAATATTATTTTAGTTTTTTGCCAGGTGAATGTAGTCTCTATTTTATATTTAATGCATGTATGCATTGCTGGCATGCTTGTATTTTTAAAGTGATTTTGGTGGTAATGTTAAAAAGGTACTGCCTATTTTCGATGCTGTTTTTGGTGTTGTAAATGTGTTGTATAATGTATGTGAAAAAAAAAAGTTTTTAATAGCAATCTTTATTGAATTCGTACCATAGAAGTATGGAACAAACATAACATATACTACTTATTCTATATGTTATTGCACAAAAAATAAATAGACCAGTCTACTCTATCGAAAAGTAGTAACTTGTGCTGTCTTCTTTGCAACTTTATTTAACAATCTTTCTTGTCTCGCTCAAAGAATCAAACTTTAGCTTTCAAAAAGCAACGATACAAGCCTTTTCAAAGTTTAAACATAAACATAAATAACATTCTTTGACAAACCAAATGTAAAGTGTCCTACTATAGACAAAGAACCGTTGCTTTGTTATATTTACATTTGAGACAAAAACTTCTTACTGCATTACATTTTACATTTCACTGCGCATAAAAGGCAGTTTAAATCCCGCGAACACGTATATAGTATTGTCACTCGGGCAGGGCACTAGGATATTCCGTTCGGAATACAAAAATTTAAATACAATAACGCTATATAATTTAAAAATCGAAAATAAATGGAAAAAAATTCGATTCGGGCAGAAATTGAACCGGCATCGTCAGCGTTCCGTGCTGTTGCTCCTTTTTTCTAAATTATATAGTGCCTTCATGTGCAATAATATGTAAAAAATATGAATGTTTTCATACAATAACGCTTTTAGTATAGATATTAAAATATCTAATGGCAATTATGATAGTTTGACAAAAACAAAACTGTTTTTGTTTTCTCTTTTATTAATTTGTCGAGCTTGAAACTAAAAAAATATGGATCTAATTAAATCTTTACGTTGTCAATGGCTTCTATAAATTTTATGAAATTGTAATAAAATTTTCAAAAGTTATAAAAGGTTCGAAATTTGGTGAAATAAAAATTTAATGATCTACAAATAGTCATACTGAGCATAACTAATTAAAATTTGTAAAAATGTGAATACAACGACAAGAAAATTAGGTCTTCTGTTCTATATTTAAGTAAGCTTTCTATAGAAAAGTTTCTCATTTAGCTTAAAACACAATAGACGAAGTAGTACGGACATCTTCATTAAAAATTACTTAAAAAATGTCAGTCCTGAAAACGCGGTATTAAATATTCTCAAGAAAGGCTTTATTTACGTAATAACCTTTTCCATTATGGTGGCACTGAGAACCGAGAACAATATACTCTCTACCTTTTTAACTAAAGCATTTATTACCTGGCTACTTCGTCGTAAGTCAGGTGCTTCAAATGCCCATTGAAATAGCGTAGTATTGTGTTGGTAAATTGTAATTTGCTTTTCGCCTAAGATTTACAATATAATATGAGCAAGCCAAGTAAGAAAATTAATATAGAAAATAAATACAATGTAATGAGTAAAAACGGCATATTTAGCATCCTTTTTGGACTTCAATGTTTCTATTTTGTTTTTTATTATTAGATACAGTATCATAGGTAAATTATATACTATTTTTTTTTAATTTTAGTGAAATCCTATAATATTATTAAAACTATCAAACGCTTCAACGACCTAAATAAAATACTTTTAAGGGTTTAAAACACTAAATATATTTTTATTCACTTATACTTATTTTGACTACGAGACGACGTTTCAGATGTTTTGCAGTTTCCGTGGTTAAGGGGGAACTGAAGATGGAGGATGCCAATAACAAAGTCAAGACTACGGCAGATGGCGCTAGCGTAGCAGTTTTGACTTTGACATTAAAAGTATTTTTTTAATGTGTAGGTACCACTCACGTAAACTATAGTCTTACTTTAAATCCATTCGATTTTTACTTAAAGAAGAGAAAAGTTTAATTAAAGTCAAGGAAAGCGTTTGTTAAAATATGTTATTAAATTAATAAATATTTAAGTACGAAAGAAAAAAATCTTAAAAGACTTACGTCAACAAAGAGGTTCTACTAACAGCGGTACAGGTATAATATAATAGTTCTCTAAAGATTGGACAAAAAAAATGTATAATTCTTATACAAGAAAAAAAAGGACTTATAATAGATCCACAGGTAGCAAGCAGGTAAGGAAGGAAAAGAAATATCAAGAGCCAAGTACCTAGAAACATTATCAGAAATCTCTTGCGTTCAATAAATTTGGGTAAAATGCTTAAATAGTATAGTTTAGAGTTACTTGTTGTCTCTTGGGAATTGTAAAGTAATGGGAATGTACTAAACATAATTTTGGAAGATAAATATAGATAATTTGGAAGTAAAACAATTTATATGATTGACTTGGAGGGAAAGCATGGAGATTACTCGATGGCAGATGATATCGGTATAATAGGTACCCTAGCCATATAACATCTATAAAGCTGCACTGTCGACCTATTTTAGTTTTTAGATTTTCGCAGATCTACAGACTGAAACCGTAACGTGATTAAACTTCACAGTTTTTTCATCTGTGGACGGTGGTTCGTGACCCGGACGAAATTTCAATATTTTTACCACGCATTTAATAACGGACGAAGTCAATCATGTTTAAGAAAATTTATAAATTGATAAGAAACATGTTGAACTCGATGGGAACGGGGACGGGAATCGACCCGTTGCTTATTATACCATTATGGTAGCAATACCATTGGACCAACAGAACATCCTTAAAGAATTCCAAAAACGATGCATATTAATAAGTCTTTCTCCGCCACTTCATTGTTAATTAACTTTAATTGAACGACCGTAATAACATTTTTAATTAAAAATGGTTTGCTTCAATTTGACATTTCGTTCGATAAGTTTAAACAGTAACCAACCAAAATTGGTCATGCAAATAAACGATAGCTCGTGAAGATTTTTTTATAGTGGATGACAGGCAAACATCGGGTAAGCAAGCCGTACAACATCTATACTAGATGTGCTGTCGACCTATTAGGCTTATATTCGGATATCCTCAGACAGAAACCGAAACCCTATTAAACTTCACGCCTTTTTATTAATAGACGATGGTTCGTGACTCGGACGGAATTACAATATTCCTACCACCCATGCAATATCCTATCTAGAAATCTAGACAAAGTCTATCATGTTTCAGAGACATTTTAAATTAATTATAATACCCGACCTGGTCAAACGCCACCAGGAGATCGTTGATTATCATACATTGCTACCAATGGACCAACGATCCCGTTAAAGCCGTGAAGATATCTATTATCTCTTATTAAGTGGGCTATTTGTGTGCCGCCAGTAGAATAAGAAAATATGGCGGCAATCCGGTTTTATAAATGAAGCGGGAAGGCAATTTAAACTGTCGGGTCACGATTGAAGTGATATTTTACGATTACCTTTTTTGTTAAATATTTTATTAATTTGAGTATATCAAATATTTGTAATTGGACGTGGAAAAATAGGACAACGTTATTTGGTTTTACCATATTTGTATGACAGAGGGGAGACAAGCATGGTTGTTCACTTGATGGGAGGCGAAATAGACCAGCCGTATATAATTTATACAAGTCAACGCAGTACATATTTTGGTAAAAACGGTGTCTTGAGCAACCGGGTCCAACAGGTGGAGATTTAATCCACGACCCGTTGAATATTAGGAATACCACTACTGTTTGACCAACGTCAAATGCGATCTCATCAATTTTTTTTAGATATCTTATAATTGACACGATTTGTACGTGTAGTATCTGATACTTGTTGTCTGTAATTTACATGAGTAGTACTCATTTAAATAAAATACTTAAAACGGTTTAAAACGCGAAATATATTAGCTATCTTTTTCATTTATTACAAAGCATCCTAAATGCAATGCTTATGTGAATTCAAAATGAATTAATATATTTTTTAACTGTTAAAAGTGATCTATTTAAATATTATATTAAATTATCCATCCCCTTACAGTGTTAAAGTAGGTGGATATTTATTCTAGCTTGAGTTTTAGTTTACCTACTTAATTATTGGGTCATTAATAAGATATAATAGTAACATGGATATATTACTGCTTAAACGATCGTAAGGTTTTAAATTAATTATTACAGTACAATAACGTTTCACAAATAAAGATAAAAGAGAATTCTTTTTTTTATGAATTCGAGGCGTTTAGTCTGAGTGGAATGCTTTTATTATTGTTGTGAAGCCACAGGAAATTGTGTATTCCGCTTTTCCACAAGCAATTTTAAAATAAAAATAGAGTCACGCGTTTTCATAAAAATGTTTCAACTATTTTACCAACTTCTACAAACGAAAACGGCTCCAAAAAATTGCGGACTTGAAAATGGTATTCAACGGGTATAAACAACAATATTTTTTTTAATAAAAATGTGGATGGGCGGGAGTTGAACTCACAAATACAGCGTTCCGTGCTGTTGCTCGAACTGTTTCGTATGTTACATGCATATATCTCAGCAATATAATTTCTACATTTACATTTACGTACCTATTTGTCGTATGCTATTTTATATATTCACATTATTAACGATAGCTTTACATAATTTTTAAAATGTATTTTAGACATATTTTTGTAAATAGAAATTATATCACCGAAACAGGTATGTATATTATAGGTGTAAACATTACATATATGGACTGAAAGCAACTTTTATTCTTTCAACTTAGTCACTAGTCTCCAAGTGACTTTTAATTTTATAAATTATAAGATGATCTGGTTTGACATGATTTACACATTTTGGTGACTCTCGAGCATGGGACCTTTTAACCCTGATCAAGAAAAACTGATTAATTAGACTATATAGGCTCTAAAGCGTTCGGCTTCAAGTATACATTATTTAATAACAAAGAATAAAGCATAATGCACATTAATACATTATCCACTAAGATTGCTACTGAATATTTCTCAATAATACAATAAATAAAAAA